AAAATTCAATTAAGAGCCCGGAAATTAATGTGGATATGTGTGAGAGGAACGAAATGATCAAGTGTAAAATTGGTTGGTCAAGTGTGTGCCAAGTCTTATATAATACCAAAATTTCAGCATCGCCAGCCAATCCCACCCAAGTCCAGCAATATCAACCAACCCCTCTAGAAGAATCTACTCAAACTCCTTATCCACGCTCTCAAACTTATCCAAGAACGCCTTAAACATATGTACACCAAGTCCGGGGTCCAGACTTCCCGTAGTAGCGCGGATAGAATGCATGCTAAGCTGAGGTAACCCGGCATCGATGGCACGAACACCCATAGCAGAGCTGAGCATAGGACCGACCGTGCCACCGCTTCTAGAATCATTGCGGATCATGAAGACCTGTAGCTTGTTGCCGGATTTCTCCGCAATGCGTGCGAGTAAGGCGGTGGAAACTGCGTCGGTTGTCATGTGGCCATTGGAATCGGCTGCTACTGTCAATCCAACGTTTAACCTAGGTGAATGTCCCTCGAGATATGAGCCTAAGAAGTTGGGGTGGACTGCATGTGTGACATCTGCCGATACGAGAAATGAGTTGGCATACGTCTGGCTCAAAATGTTCGCGCTTGATCCGTTGCTGGAGAATGATTCCGAGATCCGTTCAATCACACTTGGCAAGAAGTTTCCGCGGGCTCCTTGTCTGAGTAAACTTCCAATCTCTTCGTCGTCAAATAGACCCACTAGCTTCACAACACCGTCATCCGCTGGTGTCACGGTGGCTGAAGCCAGTAATCCTTCTAATGCTGCCCAAGAGCAAAGTTTGTCGTCAATTCTACCAGCAAAGATAAATTCCTTGTCTAAACCGCCAGTCTGGGCGGGTTGCGTGTCGAAGAGTTCTAATTCCCAATTAACGATGGATGAAAAATCTTGAATGTTCAATGCTCCCGCGATTGCTCGAACAAGCTTTGGTGGCTGTGTAGCTGTGAAAGCACCTTCCCCGCCTAGGATTACATTCGCCCATTCATCTTGTGGTCCCTGATTGTGAGACCCTGAGTTTTCGAGGCCTATAATCGGCACAGTTTGTGTCTCCATGTTGTTCTGTCCTTCCATACCAATGCCAAAGTGGGGTGCGAGAGTTGGTATTCTAGCAACTGAACATAATTAGCTCTACTGGTGCAATTGATGAAATTGCTTTGCTTACTCGGCCAGTCTAATTTCACCAGTCTGGTGCTGACATTCCCAGTTTGTCCATCTCTGACAAGTACTCTACCGGCGACTCCCAAGTCACGATCCCACCAAGTACTGTTAAGCGCACCAGCATAAGGAGCGACACCAAGTTGAATGTATCCAGCGGTTGTTTTCTTTGTGCTTACTGGCTTTAGACGAGCTGTCAAAGCATCAACATGACCGGCAATCATTGCAACTCCATTTCCGCTTTTGTAGTTCTTTCCAACCGTAAACGCTATTAAACTGCTGCCATTTCTCGTGGTATAGTATTTGCCGCCCGCTTCAAGCTCCCAAGTTTCTCGTTCCGTATACTATCGAGGTCACGTCAGAAACCGCAATAAGTATCAATCAAAAGACTCACCTTCTTGAAACCAGCCTTATGTAGCTTCTTCTCAAAGTAATCCACCGCATGCCAAACAGTAGGATTGTTTGTCAAGAAAGAACAGAATGGATCAGTATAATCCTCCGCAGCTTTCAACATGTTTTCCCATCCCGGTAGCATGGTTGCTCTCTCCGCCAGCTCCCCGTTTGCGCGTTTATATCTTCGAAAGCCCGCAGGTTCAGAATATACTGGTAACGCATAGTTCCCAGCTGTCAATCTCCTCACTAGGGCTTCTAGTTCGGCAATTCGACTGTTGGCGATATCTTGCTCTCTTGAGCCTTCGTAAGACATGACGCTGGGGCTATCTGGAAGCTCACTCGACTTGTTCTTGACCATGTTGTTGCGATGGTGGGGACGGAGAAGGAGGGGGAAGGATGACGAGTAGAATCCGTAGAGCTACCTAGGTAGAGTCACAAGAACCGCGGAGGATGCTTTGCACAAGGACTACTATCAATGGGACAATCGTTGAGGTATTCCGGGCGCAATGGTGGTTGTTGTGGTGTACCTGGTAGACTTGTTGTTGGTCGTCCAGTGGTGGAGGGACGTCGCGGCTTGGCATTGCGGCAAGTGACGAGCGACGGTGCGCAACGCAAAAGTATCACCGTCAACCGTCGTCGCATAAGACGCCCTTATACATTACACTAGAGTTTTATGACAAGAGACATCTAATTAAGTCTTAGGTAAAACCAAAATCATTCTTATATCGATTCTTCCAATTTATTGTTTCGCATAGACCTTGAGGTACTATACATCTATGGTTAGAATATTAATCAGGTTGTTGATTAGGGAATCTGGATGAGTTGTGGCATTATATCTAGTCCCAATCTTGTCAAATTTTAACGAAGCTATGGAGAATACAGCCTTTCAATTCCCAAGTAGATTTTTATGGGCATATTGAGAACATGCTATTTTCACTAGAATCGAATAGCCTTTACACAGATCACATAGGATGTTGTCTCAGTCGCTGGAAGCCCGGCCAACGAGAGAACATGGACTTATAGAAGTAACATTCAAGTTGTGAATTCCACTATCTAGTTCGATAAGTATAGAATCCATCACTCTACTATCTACCATCTTTCAAGGTTCTGTGGTCTATCGTACTGGTTTCTACACAAATTATTAGTCGTTTGAGCCATAAAGTCAAGACAAGCCTTACGGATCATACTGATCAGCACCCTGTCCACGGACATAATGCTCATCATACATATTCTCAACATTGTCTCTAGCATGTCGCTTGGCCTTTTCTCTATCAACGTAATCCAACCCCTTGGTCTCGGCGAGCTTGTCGACTTCCGCACCAGCGATACCTGCGAGGAGCTCTTTGGCGAATTGATGGGAGACTGGCTTGCCTGGAGCGAATGATTAATATAGAGACCTTGAGCGTGATGGTGTATGACTAACCCTCCTTTCTTTGTCTGTCTTCGAAGACCTTGAATGCACCGAAAGATGCGGCGCCAGCTAGTGCCTCATGACCGAAGCTAGACTCGTGCTTCTCGTAGCCATCATCGTTGAATTGTTGGTAGGATTGCTCAGATTCTCCTGTAGTAAGAGACGAAGGTTAGCATTGGGTAGAGGCTTAACCGTCCGCCTAGAATTGCAGATATGACGGGACCAATGTTGGTGACTTACCCCATCCGAAAGGCATTTTGGCTGATGTTGATTGGGAGTTTGACTGTTGGTAGAGAAGTAGTTTGGGTAAATGAATTGAATCGATTGAGTGTCAAGAAAAGAAACAGTTTGTGTAATGAAAGCAAAGAAAGGGAACGAGAGAGGGAGGGGTATGAGGGGTTTATATCAACCGTGATCCGATCAAGGACCCTAAACCACAAGCGTCTCTATGCTCACCTATCCACTTGGATACTCGCAAATCCGGTCCCTGAAAGTCCCAAAATGATGTAGTTTCCGAGGCAGTGCCCAATAATCTAACGCTCTCGTGGACCATCATTGGCCAGTGGCACCGGTCTGATACCCCACGGCGGGTCAGCTTGGTCAAGCTTTCACTTGCGTAGCTCTGCTGCGGATGAAAAGCTTATGCGTCGTCTCGAATCCAAGGGTTCTTGCCTTACTCCTTCTAGCATCGCTGAGTAGCCGTTTGATGTCCCCTAATGATTGCGTAGCAGCGGCCATGCCGACCGTATAACAAGTACCATCATATATAGAACACGCCTTGGATGCTTCGTGGACTCTTAGAGCACCTGGCTGAAACACACCATCAGGATGACATCAAAGGCAAATCGCCACATGGTGGGTATTGTAAGGAGAAAATCGTAATTCAATGGGGCTCCATCGGAGACTGTACCGCTCACGTAATTGTACAGAAGCTCCAGCTGCCGATATCCAGCTTGCGTCTGAGCTGGCTAGAAGACCACACCGAGCCAGCATTGAAGAAGCCATGAATTGGCAACAATGAAGTTACATATACCGGTAACAATAAAATATCTCACAAATACGTTGACATACTGTACGGAGTACGAGGTGGTGCAAGTGGTGTTGATGAAAAGATCGCCGCAGATCCGCGCCCGCATCTTGGCGAAGCTTGTTTCATCAACCTGGGAAAACGCCATGCATCGTTGAGTGTGCATGATTTGATTGACAACGACGGGAAACTCAAGTCACGTTTATGATCAAAAAACTGTAACTCAATTACAATCTCAACATACCAACAGCAACATCCACCAGAACATGTCCTCACCTCGACTCCCCCAAATATCAGACTTCCCCCCTTCCCTAACCCTCACAATCACACCCCCCTCAACCGGTTCCCCAATAAACATCCTCATCCTCCTCCACGGCCTCGGCGACACCCACCTCCCCTTCACAAAACTCGCCGCCCAACTAAACCTCCCGGAAACAGTCTGCATCTCCATCCAGGGCCTAAACCCCATCCCCGCGCTCTTCACCGGCAGCGACGACCCGGCTTTCCACTGGGGCGACGACGTGTTGGTCGATGAGCGCAAAGGCGAGATCGATTTCGACGCTGGTTTTACGAGCACCGTGAAAGCTATCAGAGGCGTGGTGATCGAGGATGTCTTGATGAAGAAATGCAACTATCCCGCGCGCAACATCCATTTCTTCGGCTTCGGGCAAGGCGGGATGGCTGCGTTGGCTATCGCAGCATGTGAGCTTGAGTTCGGCGGCGTGGTTAGTATCGGGGGCCGCGCTTCGTCGTCGACGTTGGGTGCGGATGGGAAGTTTAAGACGCCGGTGTTGGTGTGTGGAGGGAGTCGGAGTAGGGAGGTGACGAGGGGGGCGGTGGAGGGGTTGAAGGGG